ATATATATATATAAAATCAGATACATATCTTTAAAATATATGTATTATTTGCATGTGTGTACATTTAGGAAATTAAGTGTATTATGTTGAACCTGTGTTTCTTTTCTTTTCTTTTCTTTTTTTGAGACAGAGCCTCAAGCTATCCCCCTGGGTAGAGTGCCATGGCTTCACTGCTCACAGCAACCTCCAAGTCCTGGGCTCAAGCAAGTCTCCTGCCTCAGCCTCCCAAGTAGCTGGGACCACAGGCGCCCACCACAATGCCTGGCTATTTTTTTTTTTTTTTGGTTGCAACCATTATTGTTGTTTGGCGGGCCCGGGCTGGATTTGAACCCACCACCTTAGATGTATGTGGCTGACGCCTTAGCCACTTGAGCCACAGGCACCGAGCCTGAACCTGTGTTTCTACAAAGTATTTTATATCCACCCACAGCATATTAGTACATATATTTATTGTTAGTGTATATAGACCATCTCTTAAAAATTAAGTGGTAACTGTTGGTTACTCAATATATTGACAATGTACTTTTTCACTATTAATAACAATGCTTCAATTAACATCTCTGTCCCACCATGGCTCTTTGGGCACACATATGATTGGAAAAGTTGGAAAATCAGACACAGAGACTTTGAATTTGGGGATTATATTTCTGCCTCTGCCACTATACTGAGAGGTTTTTTCTTTTTTGAGAGAGAGTCTCACTCTGTCATGCTGGGTCGAGTGCTGTAGTGTCATAGCTCACAGCAACCTCAAACTCTTGGGTTTGAGCTATCCTCTTGCCTCACCCTCCTGGTAGCTGGGACTATAGGAACCCACAATAACACTCAGCTAATTTTTCTACTTTTAGTAGAGATGGGAGTTTTGGCTCTTTCTCAGGCTGGTCTCTAACTCCTGAGCTCAAACAAGCCACCCACCTTGGCATCTCAAAGTGCTGAGATTACAGGCATGAGCCCCTGCACCCGGCCTATCCTGAGAGTCGATTAGGAATGAGAAGTTTTCTTCAGTTCTTTATTTCCAGATTCTTGCACAGTGCCTAGGACTTTATATATTCATAAAGCACAATTGTTGGATAAACTAATAATAGTGTTATCATTATTATAATAAAGGAATCCTTGGATTGAGAGAGGAGCACAGAGACAGGCTTTCTACATGGAAATCCTGATATTCATTTTTCTTTGATTTCTAAGGGATAAAAAAATCAGACTTCAATGTTTAAGACAAAATATCAATAATCAATCAATAATCATTACTGTCTCTGGGTCACTTGCTAAGTGCCAGGCCCTGTAGTAGGTACTTTGCATGTATTACAGGTGAATTTACAACTTACAGATGGAGACACTGAGATAAATGACGTGTCTGAAGTCACATGGTTAGTAAGCAGCAATGTTAGAATTCAGCTGAGTCCTAGAGGATTTTGATCTTAGGAACTGGGGACAGTAAGTGCAGAGCAGGATCCTCAAGAATTTCAGATCCTACAGAATTTTCAAAGGCCCAGAATTTTCCCAGCTGATTAAACAAATTCAGGTAGTTTCGTAGCTGGAATGAGTCAGGGAACACCCTGTGAGGGCCTAGACATGCCGACCTTGAATGAATAGGGCAGAAGAATATGGAATCAAGTGTCCTTCTCAACATGGATCTAAGTGGAAAGAGGATGCTCAAATTTGTTATTACCTGGTTTCTAGTTCCACTTTTGTCACTGACCTATTTTATTGCAGTACCTGTGAATAGGCCAGGATTATTCACCCTCAAACAGGAATTATGACATTTAACTGTGTCATCATCACTGACTGTTAGAGCTGGAACATACAGAGAGATCATAATCAAATATGATCATTGATGAATGAGGAACATGAGGCCCAGAGAAGTTAGACCACATCACGGCCACATACGGGCAGACTTAGATTTAGAACACAAGTTTCCTTCTAAACTTTTCTTTTTTCTTCACCATTGCATCTCAGAGCTTTTGAAAAGAATGAAGCACTTTGCAGGTCTAGGGGAGAGTTATCAAATCTTCCTGAAAGCTCAGAAACTCAGCTGACACCTCTGTGTTTTACTTGGGTCTTTATTCAGGAGAGGTTCATGTCACAAATCACTTTGTGTTAATTGTTTCATGATTATGATTTCAACTTGTATCATTTCCCTACTGAAGCCCCAAGCATCTTGAAGTCAGAGACTGTGTTTTCTTTATCTTCTTCCCCGCCCCTTGCCCTCACTCCCACCCCGGGCCCAGGTCCCCGTGCCTAAACCTTGGAGAGCAGCTTTAGGATATGCTCAAGTTTTACACTGAATATGGGCAGCTTGAATCACTTCTTTCTTTGAAGTTTACCTTCCCACTCTCTATAGTTCCTGATTTATGCCTACGGACTCCATTTGTTGGTGGTAGTGGTTTTAATTCAGCTGAAACTAGTGATCTCCCAAGGGAAGGTGAGAAAGAGAGACATCTGGGGACCCTTAGCAACAGGATCTGTGGCGTGCGGCTTAGCACCCTGGGGCCTCAAGGCAGACATTGGTCCCAGGTCTTCAGTGTCTGGCCGAGGAAGGCAGTTTCTACCCAATCCCCCCTCCTCTTAGAGCCCACAGGCAGGTCTCCTTTGGGGGTCAGGATTACTGGGAATACTAATTAATTCATTAGTGGGGTTGATGGATTATCAGGCTGTCTCTTGGCAGAGGGGCCTTGGAGGGGGGAAACAGATTGTTGCCCATAAATCTGCCTGTTGCCTCTCTTCTCTCTGCTTCAATGGCTCCCGGGCGTCAGGCCTGTGGGCCAGCAGTAGAGTACTGGTCTCCCTTTCCCCACTCAGCAGATGGTTCTAACAGGTTAGTTCAGAGTTTTACAAAGAGCAGCAGAGAAAGAAGGAAGGCTAGGGACTGGCCCTCTGGCCCAGGAACCACATGGGGGAGGAGAATGAATGCAAATGTGTGTGCTGCCTTTTCCAGGGCAGCCACCACCCCTTCCCTTTGCTGACGGCATACACAACTCCTGCTCCTTCCTGACCTCTCAGGATCCAACTGTACACTACTCAAGGAATTGTGACAAGGGTGGCCTTGATGAAATAGATTCCACCTATCCTTCTTCAAAAGGCAGTTCTTAAAGAAAATTGTGTCCTCAAATCCCTCCCAAGACTGAGAGAGTGTGGAGACACGGGCACACGCACACACACACAATTGAATGTGTTCTGAAGGCTAATCCTATTGTGTCCAGTCTCTTACATCTGTCAGAGAAAGCAAGGAGCCCTGTTCTGTCCCCACCCTCATCTTTGTCTCAATATGTTCACCTTTCGGCTAATCCACTATTCCTCCTTGCCCCTAAAAACTTCACAGGCAGGATGCCAACACCACCAATAACATCAACTTTTAAATATCCATGGACACGGCTTTGAAGACACAAAGCAGGAGATCAATTCATTTATAAGCGATCATTGAACAGCTATTATGCACCTGTGTCCTGGACACAAACGACCCCATAGATAAGTTTCCTGTGTCTGAGGAGTGGATTCTGATTTGTTTGTAGAATTCCATCATTCCTATTGTGTGCTGTTCAATTATTCTGAAAATGACGTTTATTTTGCTGAGCAGATATTTTCTGGCTAGAGATACAAAAACATTAGGAAGAGATTAAATATTTGCTAAAAATAAAAACTTCTCATGGAAACAAAAGTGTTACTTTTATTCTCTGGTTTTCTGTGAAGAGTAAGAGTCACATGACACCATATCAGAATTAAAAAATACTATTTCAGACATAAGATACTCTTTCAACTTGATTGGCAGTAAAATTACCTTTTGTTTAAAGCTTCTCCAAAAGCCTGTGGCATTTCCTTCAAGTCCATTAAAAAAAATAAGTTGAGCTTGGACTCAGGATGCTACCATGCTACTCATAAAAACATGTAAGCAATCAACTCGTTTTACAGATGTGAAAACTGATGCCCAGAATAAAGTCGACTTACTCAAAATTATTCAGTCATTTGCTTAATCCAATCACTCTTTCTTGGCAAGAGTAGACAATTACAAAATCCTTGACATCTTAAAATGAACTCACAATAATTTATTTCTCCTTGGTCATATTATAAGCTAGAGTGAATATTCATATATTTACTTTAAATTATTCCAGGTGTGGTTTTCTTTTTACCTGCTAGCAACTAAATTTCACCTCATAATGCCAAATTGATTTTAAGAATTATTATGACCCTTCTCTCTTCTTCCAAGCTCATAACTACTCAACTAGACTTTTTCTACCTGAAACGCTTAATGATGTGATTTGAAAAGTAATAGTAGATCCCAGCTTGTAATTCAAGGAGCTAAATGCCCTTAAGATGAAGGGTTTTATTCTTTTGCTTTTTGTTTTTATAACTTTCAAATGAATAGAAAGTTGATAGGACAGGACAACAAATATAGACACAGCTTCATCTATATTCACAAATGAAAACAAGAGTCTTCAATGGGAATGCGTTTGATGTGTTGAAAAGGGAGCAGCAGATACTTCTACTCTTAGAACTCTAATTTAAAAGCCAAAGACACCAACCCCCAACGTATAAGGTCGCAGTCAACGGTGCTGTGTCCTCGGCATGTGCCTTGCTCAAATTTTGATTATTTTCAGATGTGGGATGTGCCCATCTTAGCTCTCTCCAAATCTATATCCTCAATTTTCTTTCCCTATGTTGCCCATTCTGCTCCACTATCATTTCTTACCTTTCTAACCAAAAAGGTTTAAGTCCTTTTTCTTTACCCCTTAACGTCAGCAACTCTCTCCCCAATTCCCCTTCCAGCAACTCCCATCCCTGTTTAACAAACAGACAGACCCGGTGCAAAGCTGGACCTGGCCTGAGGAGAACCTCCGAAGTGGGCGTGTCTTTCGGCTGGGCAGGGGGAGGAGTCAGGCTCTGGCAGCCTCGCTCCTCCCCGGTCCGCTGCGAGAGCAATCAAAACTGCTGCGAGTCCGAGGCTCAGGGCAGAGCCCAGGAGCTGCCCAGAGCCGTGGTCCTGAAAGCGCCACTCCAGGGAGCTGACCGGGGAGAAGAGGTACTGAAGACCCAACAAACCACTTGCAACGGACGCCGCAGCCCAAGGGCGTCCTTAAGGAGCGCACGGGAACTCCAGGGAAGGAGTAGACAGCAGAAGTAGCAGTCAGAGAAACCAGACCCGGCGGAAGCTCTAAGAGGGAGCCATCGCGTTTAACATGGATGGCTGAAAGGACCTCTTTCTCCCACGGAGATTGATGGTCAGTCTGGATGGTCAGGGGGACGTGGGTTCTCTGACTGTCCTCCAGGACACAAATTCACAGAGAGCACTCCAGGAGCGGCCAGTGACAGAGGTGAGCCAGCAGATGGGTGGTGAGGGGGCTTCTAAAAAGTTTCTGTGGGAAGTTCCCACAGACATACACAAGAGATTGGGGTGAGGTAAGTCTCTTTTGGGCTAAAGAGGAGGGAGTGGGATTTAGGAAACTTGAATGTAGAAGCGGAGGGAGTTATAACACTTAGGGACAGATATAACATTTGTTATAATTTTATTTAATTTTATCACACCTGCCATACAAAATGAAACTTGTAGATACACTGAATCATTTTGAAAAAGTGGAGATTACAGATGATTATCACCCTTCCACAATCCCCGTCAAGCTCACTCTTTCCTTTTACTAATGCTAAACATCCAAAAGGTTAACTGCTTTTCCAAGGCAGCCCAGCAAGGGGGTTGGAGGGATTGACCCAACCCACCACTCTGCTCACAGGATTTTGGGGCTATGCAATGAATGGAGGAGGAGGAGGAAAGGAATTGAAAATAGAATCAAGAACACGGTAAGATCTGGGAAAGCCGTGGGGGTAGATTCTCACCATTACCCATTTGCTAAAATGCTTTGAATATTTGGGATGGGTGGGGGAAATTTCCTTTTCTCTAGCTCTTCCAGGTGGGAAATCAGAAAAGAAAGATTGTCGAAGATATTTCTTTCCTTCTCTGCCTCACACTCATCAATTACACATAAAAAAGTGTATGCAGAAAATACTAACACATGTACAATGTCCCTTACCCCCTCATGTTTTGACAGAGGGACCAGAGCTGAACTGCTGGAGAACATGGAGGGAGCATTGAAAGACTGAGTAACTTCTATTTACAAAGCCCACTATTAAGATCTGGCTATGGCAAGTGAAGTATGACGTGGTTTTGCTGGATAAGATGTGTGTACTCCCACATATTAATAGAGTGCACACATATTAATGGAGGTAGAGCTAATAGAGTATAAAAATTGGATGCAAGAGTACAGAAAAGCCCAATTGGCTTTTTCCAAGTAGTGCAACTTGTGAGCACCCTGGGCTATGTTCTGTCTTTTCAGTGCAAAGACTGTGCGGCTTTGAGAAAAGATTAGTTTATCTGGGCCTTAGATTCCCCCAACCTGGGCTGGGTATTCTTTTTTCCTGTTGTATTTAGAGTCATAGAATCTGGAGGTGAGGAGATTATCATCAGCTTTTAAGAGAAAAGACCCTGTCCAGCCACCACAAACACCATAAGAATGCCCCTTACTTACTCATCAGTTGAAACTTCTCCATAATAAATAAAAAATGAGTGAAAGTGTAGGAAGAATTCCAGAACAGCTCCACATGGTAGTAATGCCAAATGACTTTGGGCCCAGGGGTAAAAATATTAGGTAGTCACAATCATTACCAAGCAAATACTTTTAGAACAGGTTAAAAAATGAAATAAGTGGGAGAGATATTTTGAGTTAAAGAGAAAAGGTTCAACTTGAAATTTCACTTAAAGATCCTAAAGAAAGAGGAAAATTTGTCATATCACATAGGTACATAAGAAAATCCAAATATTGTCATGAACGACTAAAATGGGCTTTATGAGATCAGAATGTGTTTGTATGTGAAGGGAGAAAGGGCTGGATTCTGTTCCAGGGCTAGTATCCATTGATTTTTGTCATATTGGAGTCTGCTTGCCATATCTTTTGCGAGTTAATTTCTTTCCTAGAAATTGAGGAAACCTAAAGATGGTATATCATGATACGTTGTGAGATAGCTCTACAGGCGTTCCCACACAGCTCTATACAATTACCACCATTTGCATCTGCAGGGCAATTTTACAAAGTACTTTCATTACCTGTTTGCTTTTCATGAAAACTTCTAAATTAAATAGAAAAGACAAAAATATTATTTTCATTTTGCCTCGGGGTAAGAGAATTAAAATAATTTTTCTGTGCTCATTTAATAAGTGAGTGATGGAAGAAGGCCTTAGACTTATGCTTATTCCAGTACACCTTTGAGATGGGTCCTTAACAAGCTATGTTAGATTTAGGTATCTGTTCAGAAGAGAAGCCTCTTGGTGTCTCTGACCAAAACTCAGAACAACACCACACACATTTCCCAATACTTAAATATAAAACAGCATGTTCGTCTCTCCTTTTTTCTGCTAACCTTTTTGATGCCTTGAAAAGATTTAGGTTGAAAATATCAGAGAAACTTTTCTATTCTGTATGTTTGAGTAGTCTTGGCTTTTGCCTGTATATGAGAGACACTTCATAGTCTCTTCAGATCATTGTTATTTGTACTGGTGGGAAAATCATATTCCTAGGATTGTTTGATCAAAGGTAAAAAAGTTCACATGCCAATGGTTGCCTGGATTCTACCAGCAGCTTCATGAACCCGAACGTGTATGTAACTGAACAGGAGTGTCCAACCAATTGTTTTCTCCCAATTATAAAACAGAATGGAGGTTTGGAAGCTAACTTCCTTCTTGAATATGATGAAAGAGTTCTAGTCAATCTAATGGAGGCAGCGATAGAGTTTGGTTTCCTCACCTTTTGCAACATGACGGGGCCTTTGGTATTTACTTTCATTAGGAGGTTGGGGGAGTAAGTATATCAGGGAATTTTTTGAAGTGGGTGTTGAAGTGAAGCCATTGGCATTTGTTGACATGAAATCAATATTATGAATAGAGTATAATTATGCCTGTTTTCATTTAAGTGGTCAGAAAAATTTACAGTGAAGTTTAGGAATAATAGTACTAACACTTATATGAAATTTATGATATATGGTGCTCTTAAAAGTACTTCAAATATAGTAACTCACTTTATGCTCCCAATAATCCTATGAGGTAGGACTGTTATTATTATCATTTGAAGGAGACTAAAGCAGATAAAGATTCGGAAACTTGCCTAAGTTCACATATCTAGGAAGTAGTGGAGCTGAAATTTGAACCCAGGTAATCTGATACTAGAGTCTGTGTTCTCTAGTGTGCCATGGGGAAAAGGGCAGGCTACCGGGCAATTGTCACCTGACCTTCTGAGCCAATCAGAGGAGGTAACATCCAGATCACAAGTTAGTACTGACCATTTTCATTACTCACCTGTGAGAAACAATTTTTATTTTTGAATAAGCAAACATGTGCCCACAGATTAGATAAGAAAACCCAAGAATAAACACTATATATATCCATATCCATATGTCCATATACATGGATAATGTTTTGTAGGATTTCAAGCTATAAAATCCTTTCTTATATTTTTGTTTATCTTACAAGAATCACATAAAATATATCTATTCCTATTTTATCAAAGAGAAAATGAAAGAACAGAAAGAGATTACATAATGTGTCTGGAATCAACACACAGGACTTAGAAGAATGTGGTTCACATCTGTTTTATTCCAGCTACCATTCTTTTGGAACCACACCATGTACTTGTGGGATTCTCTTAGAGCTAATGAACCAGTGCTTAAGGGGAGGGAGGAAGTTAAACTGGAGCCGTCTATGTCCTTTCTGTGATTAGTAAGAGAACAAAGGTGAAACTTGGTTGCCCTCTTCATTGTCATGGCTAAAGCTAAAGTTGATTCTTTCCTTTCATACCTACTGTCAATCTGGTTTGAAAGCAGACCCTTGACTGTGACAAGAGCCATGGGTCAAGTATATTAAAGGTACAGGGTGGTCTGTTCTCTCCTCCTGGTCTAACTCATTGATGGGGGTGAGTATTTCAGATCTTGATGAGAGTCCAGAGGTGCAAAGATGTGTATAGCAAAGAAGGCCCAAAACCCAGGCCAGGACGGAAGTCAGAGCCAGGATACTCTCCTCTCTAGTTTCTTCCTTGATGATAATGATTATCAATGATTATAATGAAGACAGGAGAAAGAGGAGGAGAAAAAGGAGGGTGAGGAGTGGGAGGAATAAATAAGTGAAAGCAATTAGAAAGAAAATTTGGAAGAGGAAAGAATCCTGGAATATGAGAGTCCACAGACAGTTCAGAGAACATCTAGGGCAGCCTCCCTTTAGAGAACGCTCACTCCTGCCGACTTAGTTCTGCTGATCTCCATCTCCTGATGTCAAAGTGCATTTTTTTCCTTCCTGTAGCTTTAATGGAAAAGAGAACAAAACATATAACCTAAAGTCTGGAATGAGAAGAACTGAATTTATGTCGTGTTCTACCAGCTCTGTATCTTTGCATTTCTATCACTTAAAGTATCTGAGCCACGGTGACCCTGACTATAAAATGAGCATAGTAATCCCCATCTCCCTCAAAGGTTTGCTTTAAGGAACCTATGAATGAATGGATGCAAAAGTGCTCTGTAAACTTGAAAATGCTGCACAAATGTTCTTATAATTACATGGAGAGCATTAGGTTTCCCAAGCCCATTCCATCCTCTTTGGCCTCAGAGTGCACCTGCCTCTGGAAGATCTGTGTGGCTTTAACAGAAAGTTAATTAGGTCCTCCACCCTCCCTCTGGATATCTGCCTGAGTTAGAAGTGCAGCTCAGCACACAAGCTCCATCATCCATATTAAAAGTGGGATTTTCTGAGTTGGCCTGGGCAGCCAAGTTGACCAATAGGTTCCAATGTGTGTTTTCAATAAAGCTGCTTACCCAGGAAGCCTTATTAAGTGAGTAAGTCAAGCTGACATGATTTCTGTGCTGATTAATATGAAACCTAGGCTGTTTTCGCAATGCAGTAACATTAATTATTTATAAGAGGTAAATGAGGTTACAAGGAAAACAAGCTCCAATTACTACAAACAAATCAAATCTTATATTTGTATTTTTAAAAGCTACATACTAATTCCTGAATTGATTGATCTGAGGCCCAAGCTTCAAAGATCAAAGAATATTTATCATGTTCTCTTCTTTCTCATAATCAAGAGGGATAGAGGGTTTAACATTTTGAGGACTTGCCGGTTAATCAGGATGTCTCAATGAAGCTTATCAGGTATTTTTATCTGGTAAACTATGTACCTACAAATAGCTCGATGAATTTTAAAACAATTTCAATTCTTCCAGAATTGAATGGAAAATGTTTACTAACCCACTAGTCTCTTTTGGTTTTTCAGATAGTTTTTAAATAGTATGGTTTGTTTGGAAAATTTTGATTACATAGTATCTGTTAGGCAAGTGAATTAAAGCAGTCAGGCTATTTCTGTGTTTGCCCGAAGTAGTCCTGACTTAGACTGCAGTCACTATGTTCTGTATACCTTAGCACTTACTTTAAATTTTTCATTTTTAGTAGAGCATGAGCATAATAGTTGCACTAAAATAATCTGGAATGGGTTTGGTAGACCACTGGCTTATACTGTGGTCTTGTTTGATGGTGCGAGATGTGTGTAGAGTGAAAAGAGTTCACTTTAATGTCTGAGCAAATCTGAAAGATGATCAGGCATAACGCTCCTTTCTTTTCCTGATTCTCTAAAGACATCATGTTGCTAACACCTCTAACACCACTATCACTAGACAGAACACAATGTGCTTACTGAAAAACAAAATGCTCTTCTGCCAGTGCTGAGAGAAACGTTTGATGATCGTGTGGTGTACCCACCCGTTTACCATGGCTAACTTGAAGGAGATACAGGACACTACCAGTTAGCAGTATCAGTAGGAAACATGGGATATTGTATAATAGATTTATGTGAAACACCTCTAAATAGAGGTTGAGGAGTCCTTTTTAGAGTATATACAAGGTAGTCTAAATGACCTTGCTATAACTTTTCATTACTTTTATTGTGTAAACATATAGTAATTTACTTATTTAATGGTTTGATATCCTTTTAATTTTCAAATAATAAATATATGTATTATATAATAATTATATATAGGTTATAATAATTATTATATTTAATTATATAATATTATGTATTATAGAATATATTTTAATTATATCTAATTATATATAATACATGTAATTAAACATAATTATATAATCATATTTTTTATACTTATGTATTATAATTGTAGGGTTGGTATTAGGGTTATTTTATAATTATTATATAAAACATATTATATTATTGTATAAAATTTACAATAATTATTTTAACACTCTGTTTCAGAAATTTCTCTTTTTGGAAAATAATTTATATTTCTATCTTATTTATGCCCCTTTATGATGTGAATTATGCCAATAAAGAAAAATATATGTCTGGAATGGTATGCTCATTATTTTTGTATCAAATATACATGAGATAAAGAACCTAAGAATAAAAAGATTTAGGCACCAGCACTGCAATGAATAGTCAATTTTCTTTTTTCTGTACTTGATTTTCTTATAACACACCATAAATGAATGAGTGCCCTGGGCAATTCTTTGAATGTTGCATTACTCATTTAGAATGGAAGACTGGGACAAGATAATTCTAAGTTATTTAAATCTCAATGCAAAGTCTGTGCTTTATAGCCAAGATTTAAAAAGAAAGTTTAGTTTTAAATTAAATCATGGGAATTAACCTTTGATATTTCCCTGTCTAGAATCTGGAAATGGCAAAAGCGTATGTGAAATCCAAGGAGATGGTGGAGCTGGTCAACACACCATCCTGGATGGAGAAAGGTCTCGGCTCTCAAAATGAGATGAAGGAGGAGGAGAGAAGACCAGGTGCTTATGGGTTACTTGGCAGCTTAACTGAAGAGCATGACAGTATTGAGGAGGAAGAAGAGGAGGAGGAAGACGGAGAGAAACCTAAGAGAAGGGGTCCCAAGAAAAAGAAGATGACCAAAGCACGCCTTGAGAGATTCAGGGCTCGAAGAGTCAAGGCCAATGCCAGAGAACGGACCCGGATGCATGGGCTGAATGACGCCCTGGATAACCTGAGGAGGGTCATGCCGTGCTACTCTAAAACACAAAAACTTTCCAAGATAGAGACCCTCAGACTGGCCAGGAACTATATTTGGGCTTTGTCTGAAGTCCTGGAGACTGGCCAGACACCTGAAGGGAAGGGCTTTGTGGAGATGCTTTGTAAAGGGCTCTCTCAGCCTACAAGCAACCTGGTGGCTGGATGCCTTCAGCTGGGCCCTCAGTCTGTCCTCCAGGAGAAGCACGACGAGAAATCTCCTATTTGCGATTCTACCATCTCAGTCCACAACTTCAACTATCAGTCTCCAGGGCTCCCCAGCCCTCCTTATGGCCATATGGAAACACATCTTCTTCATCTTAAGCCTCAAGTATTCAAGAGTTTGGGAGAATCGTCCTTTGGGAGCCACCCACCTGACTGTGGTACCCCACCTTATGAGGGCCCACTCACTCCGCCCCTGAGCATCAGTGGGAACTTCTCCCTGAAGCAAGATGGCTCTCCTGACCTAGAAAAATCCTACACCTTCATGCCACATTACCCTTCTGCAAGCTTAAACTCAGGGCATGTGCATTCAGCTCCCTTTCAGGCCGGTACTCCTCGCTATGATGTTCCCATAGACATGTCCTATGATTCCTACCCCCACCATGGTATTGGATCACAACTCAATACAATCTTTACTGAATAGGGCAGTAAGATCATCATTTCAGAAAATGATGTGGACACATTTCCTATAATTCAATAGTTGAGCTGAAGTTTCGATGACCTTAAAGGAACTCTGTGGATATATATAAGACACAATAGACCTAATCCATGTGGGCCCTCCTTCACCTGTCTCCCTCTTTTCTCATCAACTTCTCACATTCTGTTGATTCTAGAGGGTCTTCAGGTGAAATTATATGGTGACTTCCAACTATATGGAAATAGAACAGAAGACCTGGGCCCTATTCCGGTGGTGCCAAAACTTACTGAATAATTTATGCCAATTAGGTTTCCACTTGGGGTATTTGTTTATTTACTGGTGATAGGAGGCAAGAGGCAATTGTTCTGAGTCTAGATGTTTTCTAAACTGTTTTACAGTTCTAAAATTCTATAACTTTGATGATCACTCATAAATTTGTTAAAACTGAAAGAATAGAGCAATAATAGGAAACAGACAACTATATGTGGAATGATCAAATGGAGTTGCTCAAAGGAACATAGAGTATATGTCTCTTGCTTTACCGAATGCACAGTTTGTTTGAACTTACTGCCAGGTCTTCTTTGCATCTAACTAATAGCCGCTTCCAGAGGCTAAAATTCTAACCTGGCTGTCACTGTGAGTAACAAAGCACGTTCTTTCAGGCATTAGCTCTGTTTCTCACTGGAGTGAGCGTTGAACATTTCTTCCTTCGTGATTTGAGGTCCATGATCCAGGCCTCATGCCAACTTTATTCCTGGTAATATTTCAAAAGCAGTTTTCTCAATACTACAAGTGGGGCAAGCAAGTCACCTACATTCAGAGTTGTATGTGTGTAACCAATGGGACATAGAGAAGTCATTTAGACCCCTCATGGCTTCCATAACCAGATTCTGGAAATTCTGAGGAAGCTCAGGTGCTGCTGTTGGAATCAGCACACAACCCAGGTTTATATTAAAGAGCAATACAATAGCTATTGTTTGTACTAACTGCTACAGCTCAGAAACTCTTTCCAGTTCACACTTGCCAATAGAAAAACCACTGGATTTTTTTTTTTTTTAGCATGATGAATTTCATTTGGTTAAAGTATACATGGTTAAAACTACTGACCTCTCTCCACACCAATATATTTTCTAGAAGCACAGCACCAATCAATTTACTAACTAAGCTTGAATTTTTCCAATGTATATGCAATTATATCTCCTGCCCAGCAATTGTTATTTCTTTCTCACTTCTAAAGTATAATATGTTATTACATATTGTACATAAAATTTCAAGTGACTGGACTTAGGGATGCAGAAATAGAATCCAAAGTCAGTGAATAATTTTACCAACTATGTCTTTATCATGGGTTTAATCCAATTTGTAGAAATTTTTGCAATTTTTCTCCATGTAACTCCTCTTTCCTTTATGGCAACACTAATTTTGTCAAATTCATCTTTTTTGTCAGAGAAATGAGATCTGAGAAATTTTATTATCCTCTTCAATTTGCAGGGATGATTATTTTAGTCACACCAGAGCCTTCATGGTAGGGGGTCATGTTCTGTTCCTGCCAGAGAGATTACTTCTGGGTGCAGAGTTCACCAATAGGCCAATGAATAACATTGATAAATCAGATTAGTATATCATTTTCTACAGCTCAGCTAGCTCCTAAAATCTGCCTAACTATACACATATCTTGTTTTTTATCCCTCTTATCTATTATCACCTCAGAGTCTAAGATATTTTCTCCCCGTTTTGCTTGCAGCGCTTACCCTGCCATTATGTTGCACCCTTGGTTTGTAATCCACTTGAGAGTACCTTGCAGATCTTAAACTCACTGGCCACCAATGTGGTTCCCCTTATATGATCTACTCCAGAGGGAATAGGCGAGTAAAAAGATTTAAATACCGTCCTAAGTGCTTTCTGAGGGTATACTGCAGGCGTCCTCAAACTATGGCCCGCCTAGGACATTTATCCGGCCTGCTGGGTGTTTTTCCCACAGCTGCCTGTCCTGCTTAGCAGCCAACTCGTCCTGGGGCCTGCAGTCCAGCCCTCCAACAGTCTGAGGGACAGTGAACTGGCTCCCTGTTTAAAAAGTTTGAGGACCCCTGGTATACTGGCACTTGGATGTATGGAAGACTGTGGGGGAATCTGCCCTTGAAGTTAGACTTTTCTGGCATTTAAGTTTGTAGATAATGAATGTTGCCTGAGTTATTTATTAGAGATTATTTATTTAATTTATTTCTCCATTCCTTTCATGCAAATTCCTTATACCCCCATAGATGTGCTTGCAAAACCTTCCTAAAGCTTCATTTGTAAAGTAGCTCATAATTTTGTAAGAAAGCCCCGAATTTTGGAAAATTTTCTAAAAAGAAAAGAGAACATTAGTAAAGAGTTACCTATAGAAATTTTATAAAAAGCAGCAATAATTTGAAAGGCTATGCAAGTTAATGTTTTTAGATTTTTTTCCTTCTGTCTAAAATGAGCCAGAGTTGTTCGGTGGGAACTCTGTTGTTTTCGCCTTTGGAGAATATAGTACCCATGAACCAGGCCTCCCTGGGATTGTATAGAAGGCTTTATAATTGAATTTAGGAATGCGGTATGCTTGGAAAGAGCCTACTCTCCAACCCAGGATAATTTCCTTGTTCTTCTGAAGACCTTATTTTTAGATTAAAAAAGCAATTGTTTAAATCTTTTGTTTAAAAAAGTGATTGTTTTTCTTCCTTTTTTTTTTTTTTTTAGCAGAAATAAAGCTATGCATCTTACTAGACATTGTGCTGTGTTGTTAGTTTTCCAAACTTGTCTTCACTTTTCTCTATTCATTTTCCTGGGCTCTGTGTCCTACAGGCAGCTAGCAGATCACGAGCTGGGCTACCAGGAGGATTTACACATCCCCTGTTTCAATTGATCTTGCTGGAAGATTTGAAAGGTCTAAACTAAGTAGCTAGCAGCTTGGGAATGACTGCCAATTCACATAGAATCTACAGTTAAGAAACAAAGTCTTATAGTTTACAGAAATCCTTAGAGTTATAAGCGAAGCCTAAACTATCACCAAGAGAAAATGAACTATTATCCCAAATTTAGGTGGTCTCTCCAGCTTTTCACAAAATCATAAAGTATGTTCTTTGGTACCTCTTTTCTTAAAGATTTTCTTTCAGTTTTCTCTATCATTAAAGTGCTGATTATAAAAAAATAATAATGATGATGTTAATAATAATAAAAAACCTAAGTAAGAGTTGGTTAATCAAGAAAGAGGTTTGGTTTAAAATAGTTCAGAAACAAAAAATGTAGCATGACAGTCATCTTCCTATTGCTATCTTTATCTGCCAGTTCCTGCTTTTTAGCTAGAAATTACTTAAGAAAATTTTTAGTTTTTTAGTTACCAGAGACCTTTTATACATAGATAAGCAAATACAAGGTATATTAGGCACAAATATTAAGGTACATTGTCCTCTTTCTTCTGGAAGCGATAATATGACATAGATCTGCATATTCTTGCTTTATATTTAAGCACAAATCATGGGGTGTTTTGATATTTAACAAAAAGTTTCTTAATTCTTTGTTATAGCTAGTGAGCACTCTATATTAAAATACCATAATTTATGAAATTAAATTACATAATTTAGATTTTTTTCAATCCTTCGCAATACTGAGTGAATAGTCAGGTGCACTTATCCTTTGGCACGTATTCAGAGAATTTTTACTTTGCAAAGAATGTTTCAGAGGGTCAAAAATAAACTGACAGATAACAATAATCCCTTCTAGCAGCTATTGGACGCTAACTAGTACAGTCACTTTCCTAAGTGACTTACACATATTAGCTCCTTCAATCCTAACCCTTCTCCTTTAAGGTAGTTATTCTTACTCTTCCCATTTTACAGATTAAGAAGCTAAAGCACAGAATAATCTCTCCACGCTCATGGCAAGTGAGTGATGGAGTCAGAATTTGAACTAATTGATTTACCAACGAGATTTGAAATGGTTCTCAGGGGTTGGTTGTCTGGTAGACACGTGAGGATATCATATCTGTGTAATGCCACAGCTGGTGAAAGTGGAGTTATTGCTGAAAACCCTTCAAATTGTCCTCTACGTGTGACATCCTGCAGCATCTATGACCCACTGGTCCATAGATGGTTCAGTGGGTTTCTACTTACCCACTGAAGTAGAAACTGAAAGAAGAGTTTCTTTCTGTTGACAGAAGCTGAACCTTTCTGTTGAGCTTTGCCTGTGTAGACCACATAGTTCTAGGCTGGGTCACACAGACCAGTGCCTATTTGCTTGGAAGTGCTCAGCCTTCAGAGGGCTTATGTCTATTTCATGCTGTCATCTCATGTATCTCCAGCCATTAAAAAATGTTTTAACAAGAAATTAGAAATGTAAAACAATAACATCTTCTATCAACATACAAACATTTTCAAGATTTTTTAAAAATCCATATAACTTTGAATTATAGTTTGGTTCAGTAATTATAATTATTGGCATCAGAATCAGATAAATGATATTTTAGCTATGCTATGTACGACTGAATAACTTTATTAAATTAATTAAACCTGCAAAGTTTCAGTTTCCTCAAACGCCTTTGCTATTATAAACAAAAAGTGACACAAACAATGTAACCTAATCATTTATACCCTCATATTAATCTGAAATTTAAAAAAGGCATTTCATTCGTGCTAATATAATTTTTCACTTTTTTCCTTTTGTTATTATATTTAACTGACATATAATAATTACACCTATTTATAGGATATGGAGTGATATTTTGATACATGTATTACAACATGTAATGATCAAAATAAAAGTAGCAATTAGAATAATGCCTTCTTTACAGAGTTATTATGGTGAATTAGTTGAGATAACATCCAAAGCACTTAGCAAGTATTTGATAAGTGGTAATTTTTACCACCTATGTTACCATTCCTTATTCTCCAATATTTTTTTGGAGACAGAATCTCACTATGTTGCCCTCGGTAGAGTGTTGCGGCATCACAGCTCACAGCAACCTCAAACTCTTGGGCTTAAGAGAG